TACATTTAGAAAGCATCCCAACCCCGTCCAGTCCAAGCACATAAGTCCGACTTAGCCCATATGTCCAACACCGATCTACAAAATCCTCAAACTCACAAAACACACAATGATACCGAATGCAGGAAGATCACAGGTCAGTGGGTAGAAAGTCTTTGAATCCAGTGGCAGTGTAAGCATCTCAGTGCTGGCAGGGGTCTCCACCTGGCTTCTCCAGAATCCAGAGCTGCAACAGGGTAAGTCTATGTGACTTCTCAGGGATGTCTCGCAGGAAGTGAGCCTTGCCAGCTGAGGCAGAGAACTAGCTAAGGCAGCCGCACACTGGTACGACCACCAGAGAGCAAGAGATGAGAACTAGAAAGGTGAGGCTCACTGAGTTATTAATCTCTCTGCCCTTCAGTTAATCCCACATGTGTTTATCGGGCAGGTTGGCACCATTAACCTTAGCTATCACAAGAATCATGCTTATTGTTTTTACCTTCTTGTTTCTGTACTAAAAGTATAGAAACAAACTTATGTACCCTATATACTCGTGTATAAGCCGAGTTTTCCAGTACATTTTATGCAGTTTTTGTGGTAAAAGTAGGTGCCTCTGCTGATATTCAGCTCAGCTTATACTCAAGTATATATGACACTTAAGAATTTGTTTAGAATCCTGTTACAATGAATTTAGGGTTGTTGAAAAGTCTGTTTTAAATGTTGAGGAAGTTATTTCTTCTGGTAGGCATGCCTAGACAATATGGAGATACCAGAGAAGCATATGACAATGTCTGCCCTCAGGGAAGGTAGAACCCTGTAGTAGAAAGGCTTCTGGCATGTGAGGTAGGCAGAAAATAAACTTGCTTTTGGTGTTTTTCACATTGGCCCTTTGAGAGGAGATTTCTGGTAGAAACACTACCAAACCAACAAAACCAGATACTCCCATTGAGTTGATTACAACTCATAGTGATCTTGTAGGACAGAGTAGACTGACCCTGTGGGTTTCCAAAACTCTGAATCTTTATAGAGTACTTGTGATTTTGAACAGCTGACCTACAGTTAGCAGCCCACTACATAACCTACTATGCCACCCCAGCTCGTAGAAATACTACAAGGCCCCCTAAACCACAGAGAGATGATCATATAGATGTCGATGGAGCCAAGAGACAGAGAACTGACTGACTTAATCAGTGATAATGTAAGAAGAAAAA